GTGGTTAGCTCAGGTCACTACTTGGTTATTTTATCCCCAAATGTCTAATCCCACATTTTGAAAATCATGTTCTCACCTGTTGAATTCCCTTCAGGTCAATGTAGACGCCTGCGTGTGTGGAGGAGACTCTGCTCATGTCTTCCTCCTCAGTCCTGTGTCTGCCTGCATCTGATCTGAGGACGCCGTCACTCCCTCATAACTTCAGAGTATCAAAACATATATCAGAGGAGAACAGGTCCAACAAGAGCAAGAAACCAGTGAGAGGTGATGCAGTTCTACTAGCTGTCCACTAGATGGGGCTAACTGAGAATCTAATGAAGCACAGTCAGCAGCGACATTGAGATGTGATGAAGCAGCCGTGTTGATCATGAGATCTGTCTGATTAGAAACATATAGGATTATTTTAAACACACCTGCTAGCAAATACATTAGCAACAACAAATAGCTCTAACACCATTTACGACTCGTTCAGGTTAGGACATTTCACTGCTACCTGTTATGAGAAATAGCTTGTTCAAGAAGAACAGATGGTGAACTTGAAATGCTCACTGAGCATGATGACATGTTCTATTACACTCTACACTTATGATCATATTACAGATTGATCACAAATATAGAAGTATTATACATTTTATCATCGGCATTCAAAATTCACAAGGATTCAATTGAATACATCTCAGTGTCTGATAGAAACAACACATATGCCATATTGCAGTCTCTGGATGAGCAAGCTAATCTGAAGGAAATAAAACAAAAGATATGTACGCACTTGTTTCATCATCAAAGTCAGAACTGGATGAGGAGGAGACTTCAACATGTCAGCTTCAGTCTTCAGGGGTTGATAAGCTAACAAAGTGTTTGATACTGACTTGTCAATAGCTTTCATAACAAGTCCTTTAACACAGGGCATAAAGCAACAGCCACTCAGAGCCAGAAGTCCTATGACAGTGATTAGAGAGGTGAGAATAGCTCAAATCACCGCTTCCCATTTACCAAGCCATCAACCAGCCTGTAAGTGAAGGTCTAGTGTTCAGCTAACTCTGAGTGACCGAAGCTCAGCTGAAGCTTTAGTGACAGATCCATCTAACAGTGTTGTTAGGGATAAATGTTCAGCATCACGAACAGATCACAAACACCTCCTTCCTCAGCCAGGAGCATCTCTGGAGCCATTCTGTTCTGTGGGAGGTAGCATCGAACTGTTCAGCTGATCCTTTAATAGCATCATGAGTGCAATTAACGAAACGTTGCTGATTATAATAAATATAATTCATCATCTCAACATTTGTATTAATAGTTACCCAAAGGAAGAGTGGTTAGAGTCCCGCCAATATCTGATGTCTAGCTATAAACTCCTCTGGCACTCCCCGAGGAACGCCTATGCATGCATGCAATCTCTGTCGTCGAAAGAGGCCAACGGTGCATCCCTTTTCTCTCGGGAGGGTTTGAGATTCAGATCTTTAATTTGACCTATCGTCACAGGCATAGTTAACATCACTGCGGTACATGTACCCAACCAACTACTTTAGAGTATCAACACAAACAGAGCCACGTGAAAACCTGTGTAACCAGTGTCAGAAACCCAGTCAGTGTTCGTGGTGATGTAGTTCCAATAGCTGCCCACTAGATGGCTCTAAATGACTTTGAATTGTGATCTCTTATTTCAGACAAGTGGAAAGAAAACCTTTTAAGTCGACATTTACTTTTTATTTATACTTTTCTATCTTCGTGTTTGTAGATTTTTCCTAAAGTCACCAAAAGTTAGAATATCATAAAGCCTCATTTGCATATTCAAACATAACATTAAATAATTGTCTTGTCCTGCTCTTGGTTTGACTTCAGGTGATCCAGGTCGTCAGCTAGTGTTGACAGAACAGCAGAATGTGCAGCACTTAGATTGTGATCTTCATTTCCTGTCATCTGTGAAACATGAAGGAAGTGTCAGAACCAACCCAGTCTCATAAAAAAACATGTATAACTACGTTGGTCCAACAATTACAAAAACGCCTCTGAAATTGTAAGATCCCTACGTTTTTTTTCACCATTCATTCCAATGGCTGCGTCTATGTCACGTGATCTTCAAATTTCTCCCTGCAGAAAAAAAAAAACATGGCCGACCTTCGTTTTATTCTCGGTGTAAAATGCCTATTTTAAGGTTAGTTTGGCCATTAAAATGCCTTTTGATGTCATTTGATGTGAGAAATATGAGTTGTTATTTCAGATGATGTGTGCAGTGGATGTACATGATCTTTAGTGTGCTAGTTATTACGAAGATTACTTCAGGAAATTGTGTCTATACAACGTTTTCATTGTTACCAAGGTGGTTGCTAGGGACGCTGCTATCGATATTATTTCTGTTATGTTGTGAAACGAGAATAAAACGAAGTTCGGCCATGTTTTTATTTTCTGCAGGGAGAAATGAGAAGATCACGTGACATAGACGCAGCCATTGGAATGAATAGTGAAAAAAAACGTAGGGATCTTACAATTTCAGAGGCGTTTTTGTAGAAATACTACGTCCTACGTTGTGGACCGACGTAGTTATTACACGTTTTTTTGTGAGACTGGGTTGTCAGAACAGGTCTTAAAAACGGATCAATGTGACTGAGGGACTATTATTTTTCAAATCCTAATATAACATGCAGGCATTGAGTGTTCAGGGTTCAAATACATCTGTTACCCAAATGGCATTCCTCAATTACTCTGAAAACAAAGGAGTGTCCTTACGTAGAAAATTGAATACAGAACAAAATGCTCAACATTTTAATTATCAAGTCTCTCCTTTTAACTTCTGTCATAATTTAAGGATTTAAAATCACAGACGTTAATGTATCTCTGCCACCATAAATCCCCTAAAACCATTTTTGGAATATGTGGGTGAAATACAAAAAAAGTGCGGTATTGTAACAGAATAAAATGTAATATTTGATACAGGTTTTTTTTTAAGTTTGTGATTAAACATCTGGGGATAAAAATAACCAGGCAGTTACCTAAGCTATGCCAGTAGTATGGTTGCCTAAACATAACACATGTATGGATATTTCACATGAAAAACTTTTAAAGCTATCATACACAGTTTTCACACGGGCAGAGGAATACATTTGCCATTAAATACAAATGTGTTTGCAAGCCAACGCGTGTTTGAAGAAGTGGAAAAAGAACATCACCCTAGCAGCCTGAGCTTCTTCAGACTCCAGGTTTGTGGCTACGCTGGTTTCATGTCCCTCCGATGTGTTTGTACCTGCCGATCTGAAAGGTGTTGTGTCAGTCAGCACCATCTAGTGGAGAGCTATAGAACTGCATCCCCTCCATCACCTCTCACCTTGACTGGCTCTTCTTCCCGTTGGACCTGTTCTCACGTCACTCTGGTGTGTTTTTATACTCTGAAGTTATGAGGGAGTGACGGCGTCCTCAGATCAGATGCAGGCAGACACAGGACTGATGAGGAAGAGATGAGCAGAGTCTCCTCCACACAGGCAGGCGTCTACATTAACCTGAAGGGAATTCAGAAGGTGAGAACATGATTTAGACGCTTTTCAGTTTGTAAGCTTGTTGGGTATATTATTATACATGTGGGGATAAAAACAACCACTAAGTTACTTGACCTAATTAAACTTAATCTGTAGATGTTTGATCATCAGGATCACTCTGATCACATCGTGCTGTATCACTGTTTAACTGATCAGAACAAATGTGTCTTGGTGCTGATTCTATAAATCTATTTCAAAGTATCGTTGAATTTGCCTCAGAATTAAAGAGGAATGATTTTAGAAAGACTTCCTTGTAATGGCGACAGCAGTTCTTGGCAGCAGATTGATTGTAATCTGAGATATCATCTTCAGTGAAAAATCAGGGAGTGTCTGATGCTGTCTAAACCTCAGATCAACATGACTGACATGTTTTGTAATGTTTTAACATTGAAACATAGCAGACGTGATGTGTGTAAAGGGCCTTCATGTCTGTAATGATACTGCATTCAGAGACGCTCCAGTGGAGTCTCATGTTCGCTGGACTTTGTATTTGAAGCAATTTGATGGAGCGTTGACTTTGCTGATGGGATGTTTGTGACAGCATGAGATGTGTACATGTAGGGGTCCGTCGTTCTGTTCTATTATCAGTGTCTGAACTGCACCTCGGCCAAAACATAGATAAACTCCTCATTCTGCATTTAGTACTTTAAAAAAGTGTAGGATGTTTGAAGTGAATGTACTTGAGGCTAGCTGTTCTCAGTTTGTATCTTTATAGCTTGTTTGATTTATTGTACATTTTTAGTCACTTCAGATAATAGCGTCGCTAAATGTAATATAATGTAATATAATGTAATATAATGTGTCCGATCAGGCACACATGCACGTGATCCACGCTGCTTCATCATGTGTTAGTGCTGAGCTTTATTTCATTAGAGCAAGGGTCTTCAACGTTTTTCAGGCCAGGGACCCCCAAACTGATGGAGAGCTGGAGCAGGGACCCCCCTACTATATGTATGGCATACAATTGTGTTTTATATTAAACGGGGCCTAGTGCAGTGTATAAACATGCTACTCTGTTATTGTACATTCAATACTAAGCTATTCAAATAATACACAGGTTAATATATTCATGTTTTTATTTTAAACATGTGCAAGGTGCAGGTGCAGTGGCCGTGCCACTGCCATTTATAAACATACATCTTGCATACAACACTGAGCTATTAAATTAATTCACAGATTTTAACTTAAAGCATACATGTAGAAGGGACAGGGAATCCTCAAACCATCTGTGGATGGCATATGCATATTTCCGGGTCTTCTCTCGTTTGCGCTTACCCTTATTAGCTGCTACATCAGCAGCAGGTTCCGCCTCGCCACTTGCATGTTCACTGGTGGTTTCGGAGGTAGATGGTATCTCTCTTGTGCTTGTGGATTTTTTTGGTCGAGTTACAAAACGATCAATTTGTATATATATATGAAGGTATGGTCTTCTCAATAATATTGCAGCGTGCGTCCTTGTGTCTGGGTCCTTAGTAAACTGGGGACTGAATAGGCTCTCGGACAATCACGGGGAACCTGACAGAGCCAGCGTGTGTCATGCGGTCTCCTGATTGGCACAGCAGCAATAGGGGCGGGTCCTCCCCTTTGTGTACACGAGGCCTGGTGGGACAGGACCGGGGTAGTCTCCTGCTGTGAGTGAACCGGCGCCTAGCTTGAGATAGCTACTGTGTGTAGCTGAATGCGTGCATTGCTGACTAAAAGATAACGTCTTCTGCCTCCATTTCTCCGTTCGCTACAATATGTTGGATTCATGTTAATGTGCATTTAAAGACATTTCAATTTGTGGGAAAAAGTTTTAAGAAATATAAAAAATTGTCTAATCAACCAAAGATTTCGCGACCCCCCTGCAGTACCTCCGCGGACCCCCTGGGGGTCGCGGACCCCCTGTTGAAGACCTCTGCATTAGAGGGTCCGTTAGCACCACCTAGTGGACAGCTGGTAGAACTACACCACCTCTCACTGACTGGGTTTCTGACTGAAGAAGAGTTTCCTCCTCATGTGAAGCCGTCTCAATTGACCTGAAGGGAATTCAACAGGTGATGATAAGATAGAGATGCTTTTTATTTGAGATTATATTTGGGGATGATTCCAACCAAGAAGTAACTTAAACTGAGAAGGTATTTGTGTTTCCTAAAACTCAGTTCATCAGGTGAGAATCCTCCCGGAGGAATCTGTAGAAGTTTGATCATCAGGATCACTTGTTCTGCATCACCGTTTAACTGGACAGGACTAATGTTTCCTGATGCTGATGCTATAAATCTATTCTACAGTATTGTGGAGAATGTCCCTCGGAGGTAAAGAAGAATGGTTTTAGAAAGACTTCCTTGTAATGGTGCCAGCAGCTTTTGGCAGCAGTTTGATTGTAATCTGAGATATCATCAGCAGTGAAAAATGCAGGCAGTTTCTGATCCGGTCCAACAGCTCTGATCAACGTGACTGACATGTTTAAAAAAGAAAAAGTTCAACATAGAAGAGTAACAGATGTGATATAACCTCTTTGTGGTCTCTTCACAGTCACTGTGTGTTTAGGGCCTTCATGTCTTTACTGATACTGCAGTCAGAGACGCTCCAGTGGAGTCTCATGTTCGCTGGACTTTGTATTTGAAACTGTTTGATGGAGCGTTGAGTTTTCTGATGGGATGTTTGTGATAGCGTGAGACATGTTAGTGGAGGGGTCCGTCTTCTGTTCTAGTCTCAGCGTCTGAACTGCAGCATCATAACTTAACACCTGTTAAGCCCTGGAGACATTTTTACCAAAACCAAACACAAGTCTCATAAGAAGTGTCTAAATGACCCCAGAGCGAAAAAATGCAAACTGACTTTGGCACAGAACTCAAGATAAAGATACCCTTATTACTTATCGTAACTGCACATACAAGATATCCGATTAAAGCTGAGACTCCACAGATTATATAGGTATAGTATCATCACTGAGCGATCCGAACTCACGACAGGGGAAGCAAACTCAGACATCACAACTTGTAGCATTACGGAGCTTTTACGGAGCTTTTACGGGAGATCGTCTCACCGTAGCTGTCAATCTGATCAAAAGACGTGTTCAATGGCATTAAAATGAGAAAAAACGCGGCTGAATCGGTTGATCCATAGGTTGATAATGTGTCTGTCGCTTTGAAAAAATTATTTATAATCCATAACTAAATTTTTATGTAAAAATCGGAGAAAAAAAGTTAGCTGCTAATGGTAGCCACCAGAGTGTATGCAGCTTCCGGTTTTGGCTACGCGTCACTCTCACTCCTTATTTGTTCATGTGTTGGTGTGTGTAGATCTTCCCCTCGATTCTATTGGCTCTAGCGGTTATAAAGAGATTTCATTCGTCAAAATCGAGCAAGGGGGCCAGAGATATGGAAAATCCACCCAAATGACCCCAGAAGTGTTTTTTTTGTTTTGCTAAACCTCTCTAAAAAGTTCAAATTTCACTTGTTTTGCATCAATCTTGATACAGGTACTTATTATATGTTGTACTTTGGATTCCTAAAGCTTTTGGTCTACTAACCCATCATTCAAAGGGTGATTTTCACTATAAGTAAACAAATATATTTGGACGGACACTATACTTTACATTTTTTTATTATGTTCAATCTGAATTTTCTTTAAAATAGGTTTATCATTACTTTGAGAATAAAGATTATTAATTTAACCCTTTTAGGGAAGATATGGTCATTTGTTCTGGGAATGTCATTTTCGAGACTGAGACCTGAAAAACAGGCTCAGGGTTGAACAGGTTAAGAAAATCTCTTGCGCTGATCTGGCCGCGGCACATGACGGTTTTGTGTGCCCTCCCATGAAAATCATATGCCCTCTCTGTAGATTTGTTCTGGCGCCGGGTCTGCCCACCAATCAGAATCCAGTGTTTAACGTGGCCATTAAAAAAGGCCAGTTCTATCCTCTGACGGTTTGAGCAGAACGTACTTGATCATTTGCTGTTCTCACTGCAATGTGTGTGCGACACGACTATTTGGCCAAGATGCTGCAGGCGGCTCTGTTGTTGTTTCTGAACTTGTAAGGCCTAAAACACATTTACAAAGCCTTTTGCTAGAACTTTAACCATCCTCTTGTTGCCCTGTCTACTTAATGTTTAAAATGTTTTTATTGAGATTTTTACTCTGTAGCACTTTGAGTTGTGTTTATTAAAATGAAAAGTGTGATTATAAATAACTTTGATTTATTGTATTATTGGTGTAGGATCCATAGTTACAATTGTCTTGACTTTAACCTGGAAAAAGTCACATTAAAATAAGAGATCTGTCTTCAGGCGTCCGCAGAGAGGAAGGAGATCAGTCAATACTCTACGTCTGTGGGAACCTCTTCATCACAGCTACACTAGGATGCTAATGAGATCAGTCAACTGTCAGAGTTAACATTTGTAAATTAGTGCTGAGCTTTATTTCATTGGATGATCAGTTACCACCATCTAGTGGACAGCTAGTAGAACTGCACCCTCTCTCAAACTGACTGGTTTCTTGTGACTCATGTGTTTTGATGCTCTGAAGTTATGAGGGAGTGACGGCGTCCTCAGATCAGATGCAGGCAGACACAGGATTGATGAGCAGAGATACATGAAGCATGAAGGTGTTTCAATTGACCTGAAGGGAATTCAGAAGGTGAGAATATGATTTAAATGCTTTTTGGAAATTGAATAATTGGATCAAAGAAAAGCTAACCAGACAAAGTATTTTTGTTTCCTAAAACTCATCAGGTGAGAATCCTGCTAAAGGAATCTGTAAATGTTTGATCACTTGTTCTGTATCACCGTTTAAATGTTTCTTGCTGCTAAATATCTCTTCTAAAGTATTGTGGAGAATGTTTTTTAAGAACAACTTCCTTGTAAAGGTGACAGTTTCTGGCAGCAGTTTGATTGTAATCTGAGTAAGCATCCTTAGTGCTGGGAGGAAGTGTAAGAACCGGACTGACGGCTCGGATCAACGGGACTGAGGTGTCCATACAGTAAACATACATACGTTTGTCTGGGGGATTACGGGGGCTGTGCAGCATAGTTGATTTAGTATGAGCTCACTCAGACTCCCTTCTTGTTCATTCCCAGATCCAGTGTGTGGCAGAGAGGAAGGAGCAGTAACGAGCATGTTGTTGTGTTTGTGTTTAGGTTCGACACCACAACAGATCCTCCAGGAATCTCCAGAGGACGTTTGAGCCTGCCAACCTGCAAGATGGAAACCACTGATCCAAAGTTATTATTCATCTTATCAGGATTAACATGTTCAAAAGTCAGCATCATGTTCAGCAGAGTGTCAGTGCACCTTTGCATTCATCATGTTTTTCATTCTATCAGGATCCCCCGTGAGAGACCAGACCCTCCTGGACCTGACCCTCCTGGACCTGGACCTGGAGCTGGACCCAGCTGTGTGTCCTTGAAGAGGGGAAACTCTATGCCTCGACCTATTGGGTTTAAAGCTGGAGAGCATGATGATAGTCCAGAGTAAGAATTTAAAGCAAAAGTCATTTTTCTTTTTCTTTATTAAAACGCTTGAAATTCAACATAATTATCTACAAAGTTGATTCTGAACATTCATCAGTGATTGTGTTTCTATCAGGATCCCCCATGAGAGACCAGACTCTCCTGGACCCAGCTGTGTGTCCATGAAGAGTGGCCGGTCTATGCCTCACCCTATTATGTTTGGAAATGGAGAGCATAGCGATGGACCAAGGTATGAATTCAAGTTATTTTTGTTGGTCGATTTTAAATCTTTATTATTTCTACCTCATTCTCAGCTGCATTTTATTTGCTGCACGTCGTAAAGGAGTTCTTGAAGCAAAGAACTGAACCACAAGGAGAACACAGCAGAGCTTCAAACTGATGTCAGACACTGAAGATTTAGCACTTCTGACAGTCTGACACAATCAGCACATTCAGACTGTCCTGTTCGGATCAGCCTGCTCACTTTAGTCCGGTTTGTTTATCAAAGCTACTTCCTGTCCCCGTCTGCTTTTCATTGATGTCTCTTTTTCTGTCAGCCTGAATTTTACATGTTGCTGTTTTACCTTGTTGAGTGTTTCTTTAATGCATTGTTAGGTGCTCTTTGGTGTCTTGAAAGGCTCCTCCAAATATAAAATGTATTGTTGTTATTATTTATGAGTCAGATGTTTACTCTCTGACTCAGGGCATATATTGAGTCCTATCAGTATCTGAAGGAGAGAAGGTTTACAACCTTTCTTTATGCATATTAAGAAGTAAGAAAGGGGTCATCTCTTAACCCAGCTGATGCATTTTAGCTGAAGTCCTGTTTCTCGCTTGAGGCAAAGGAAAAGTCTCTGTGACCTTTTGACCTGTGCTGGACTCTGGTGATCTGATCTATATGAATGCACCTTCCCATTACCTGAACAAGTTAGATGCCATCTATCACAGTGCGCTGAGATGTGTTACTATTTGTAAAGCACTTGCTCATCACTGTACCCTGTATGCCAAGGCAGGTCTGCCTTCACTAACTGTACGGAGGCTCAGGATCACTTGTTCTGCATCACCGTTTAACTGGACAGGACTAATGTTTCCTGATGCTGATGCTATACATCTATTCTACAGTATTGTGGAGAATGTCCCTCGGAGGTAAAGAATGGTTTTAGAAAGACTTCCTTGTAATGGTGCCAGCAGCTTTTGGCAGCAGTTTGATTGTAATCTGAGATATCATCAGCAGTGAAAAATGCAGGCAGTGTCTGATCCGGTCCAACAGCTCTGATCAACGTGACTGACATGTTTAAAAAAGAAAAAGTTCAACATAGAAGAGTAACAGATGTGATTTAACCTCTTTGTGGTCTCTTCACAGTCACTGTGTGTTTAGGGTCTTCATGTCTTTACTGATACTGCAGTCAGAGACGCTCCAGTGGAGTCTCATGTTCGCTGGACTTTGTATTTGAAACTGTTTGATGGAGCGTTGACTTTTCTGATGGGATGTTTGTGATAGCGTGAGACATGTTAGTGGAGAGCTCCTTCTGTTCTAGTCTCAGCGTCTGAACTGCAGCATCGTAACTTAAAATGACGGCAGCACTGATCCAGGTTTTCAGTAACTGTCCAGGTCTGTTTAAATTGTGTTTCCCATCAACCAGTCTCTAAATACAGCCAGAGCCCATTCCCTTTAAACACTAGTGTTCTTCTTCTCTGTTACTTTAAGATATCATATTCTCAAAGTATTCCATTGTGTTTTCTGACAGTTCAAATGTCTTTAAACTAAGTTACACTGACCGGATCGATGTGACAGCACAGGGTCCCTCGATCAGAGCATCCTGAGCAACTAACTACTCAACAGAGATAACAGACCCACCAATCAGAATCCAGGATTTAACGTGGCCATTCAAAAAGGCCAGTTCTATCCTCTGACGGTTTGAGCAGAACGTACTTGATCACTTGCTGTTCTCACTGCAATGTGTGTGCGACACGACTATTAGGCCAAGACGCTGCAGGCGGCTCTGTCGGCTCTGTTGTTGTTTCTGATGTTGGTTTCCAGGGGAATTCCACGGTGATCAGTCCTGTTGTTTATTATCATTTGATGTCTCGTGCTTTTGACAGTTAGACTGATAATGTTTCAGCGTGAATATCACAAGATGTAGATCACACATCGTTGTAGAACAATGCGTTTGATCAAAAAGGTTCATTAAAACTTCATCCAAAAATAATTTGTTCATAAATAGTTAAAATTGCAATTTCCAACTTAGCCAATCAACATAAATATCTCTTCTAAAGTATTGTGGAGAATGTTTTTCAAGAAAGGCAGTTTGATTGTAATCTGAGTAAGCATCCTTAGTGCTGGGAGGAAATGTAAGAACCGGACTGACGGCTCGGATCAACGAGACTGAGGTGTTTTCATTTCTTTATCTCTGAAGCGTACACACACCAGGCAGGTTATAAAGCATCCTTTGAGGTCTCTCCACAGTCACTGTGTGTAGAGGGTCTTCATGTCTTCAATGATACTGCAGTCAGAGACACTCCAGTGGAGTCTCATGTCAGCTGGACTTTGGATCTGAAATCCTCTCCTATCCAAGTCAGTTCATTGTGGGTGTTCTTCAACACATTGTGACAACCCAACACCTATATGCTCAACATACTGTTGTCTGGGTGAATGTGGGGGCTGTGCAGCACGTGTTGGGGTCCCTGCATCCTGTCTAGGACTCCAGAATACCCTGCATCCTGTCTAGGACTCCAGAATACCAGGGTGTTCAACTGCAGCTGGTTGCATTTTGTAGTTTGTAAACCAGCATGCTTTCCTGGCTATTCTGACCCATAATCCTTTGCAGTGGATACAAAGTGGGTCCCAATGTAATGCCTATTGCATGCAAGAGAACACACCTTGTAAATGCAGTGGCAGAATTTATGAAGAGGAAAAAGAAAAAGTATATAATTTCCTAACCCTAACCCCCCTTTAAAACCATCATGGCGTACCGTCGAAATAAAAATCTGAAAGATATCTTGGTACGTACAGCCCTTAAGAAGATCACCAAACCTTCAAACCTGGACACTCACTTTCGCACCTTAAATTCCTCGCCGGCATGGTCCCGGGCCAGGGTGCTCCGATCTGGCGTTTGTTTACCCTTCTATCAACAAACCTTGTATATGCTGTTACCTGCAAACACTACAAAGTGTGAAACGGGAGCAACGTTAAAACAAAGACCATATCAACACCTGTACCAGATCAAGAAAATGAATACCAATACATTACTTTACACTCACTTTATCCAACACACCATCTCCAATCTGTTAATCGCGGGCCTCGAGTCAAACCCCTCTTGGTCATTTGGCCAAAGGAGAGCAGCAGAGAGAAGGTGGATCTGGAGACTCTCCTCCAGGTCACCTGGGGGTTTTAACAATGTTTAGTCACCGATCACCTCCTGAAAGAAAGACCTAGGAGTACTGTATTAAACACCTCATTTAAAATATAAAACTGCCCCTAACCCCATCCCTCCTGAATGTAACTCTTTTATAAACCATTCTTATTGTTCCAAACCTTAAACCCCTTTATTGGACCCTTACCTTCTTTCCTATTCAGAAACTATTCTCTTTCCTCATACCTTAACCTTCACTCTTCCCTCCCTTCAATCTAACCCTTCCCCCCCCACCATAACCATTTCCTAATCCTAACTAATTCTAACCTTTTCCCCTCCTCAACCTAACCTCAAAACCCCTCCTCCCCCTGAGTATTAATGTTAACCCTTTTCCTTTTTCCTCCTCCTTACTTCCCCTTACTCCCTTACACTTCTTAAACCTCAAAACCCCTTTAACCTTACTCCTACCCTCTCTCCTAACTAGAAACTATTCCCTTCCCTCATATCTAACCCTTCCCCCTCCCCTTCCCTCAAGCTACCCCTTCCCCTCACCCTAACCATAACCACTCCCCAGCTTCTTACCTAATCCCAACCTTTTTTCCTTCCCAACCTAACCTCAGAAACTCTCCTACCCCTTAGTAGTAATTTCAACCCCTTTTCTTTCTCCTCCTTCCTAACCCTTGGTCAGAGTCCTGCATCGGGTCGGGTACCCGACTCGCGGGTGGTATTTTTTCAAACGCTTTTTTCCGTGTTCGGTTCTGGGTAAAACAAAGATGATGCGGGTCGGGTCGCGGGTATTGCATAATAAATATATTAAAATAATAACAATTTAGTTTAATGTTTAAATCCTCAGACCTCTCCCCCGCGGGACCGTGCATAATCATAACCTCTGCAGCGCATCAATCTGCTGCTGAGCGCCACATTCAAAATGGCTGAGGTGAAGATCTCTAGCGGAGAATACAGCATTTTCAATAACACTTCCTCAAGAGCGAAATCCAACGTCTGGGAGGCTTCTGGTTCCTAGATGGAGAAAATAACCAACATCCCACGCTTTTTGAGACAAATATGCACCTGCGTGTGTTAATAATTGCACGTTTTCACTGCTCATATATAGGCTATGCGGGTCGGGTCGGGTCGGGTGGCGGAACTAATTGGCAACATGTGCGGGTAGCGGGGCGGGTTCGGTATTGCACATCGCGGGAGCGGGTCTTGAAAATCAGACCCGTGCAGGACTCTGCCCTTGGTATCAATTTCAGCCCTTTTCCTTTCTCCTCCTGCCTACTCCCCCTTATTCCCTTAAACCTCAAATCCCATTCACCTTACTCCTATCTTCTTTCCTAACTATAGGCTATTCCCTTCCCTCATATCTAAACATTCACTCTTCCCTCCCTTCAGGCAATCCTTCCCTCCCCTCCATCCTAATCATTCCCTACCTAATCCTAATCTTCCTTTCTCCTTCCCGAACCTAAACCCCCAAACCTCCCCCCCCCCTAAAAAACCTCTCCTACCCTTCACTATTATTTTTGCCCCTTCTAATTAGTTCTCTAGGTTAAAATAAAACCTTATAATAATAGCAGCATTGGTTTTATTCTATTAAACTAACCAGATATGAAAGATGTGCCCGTGCCTCACCCCTGTCACCACAAGATGGTGACAGGTGACTCTAATTTCTTACTTAACCTCCACAGCAGATATGCCGCTCGTCCGTTGACTTCTCTCATCCTTGATATTGCTGATGAACACACTTCATTGTAAATCTCCATAGATAAATATATTGTGTTTGATTTAGTATGAGCTCACTCAGACTCCCTTCTTGTTCATTCCCAGATCCAGTGTGTGACAGACACCTTTGCATTGATTATGTTTTTGATTCTATCAGGAGACCGGACTCTCCTGGATCCAGCTCTGATTCCATGAAGAGTGAATCGACTCGACCTCCATCGTTTGAAGATGGAGAGCATAGCGATGGACCAAGGTATGAATTAAAGTTATTTTTGTTGTTCGCTTTTGAAACTTTAAGCAGCTTTGCCTTCACTTACTGTACGGAGGCTCAGTCATTGGTACATGTTCATATATAAAGCCATGCTGGGTAAACTCCCATCTTACATCTGCTCTCTGATCACACAGAGAGTTGCAGGTAGCTATTGCCTGAGATCATGATGTGGTTTTGTTACATATGCCAAGAGCAAGGACTGACCTAGGTACGAAAGCTTGTATGTGCGCAGCTCCTCTTGCTTGGAACAGTCTTCAAAAATATTTGAAAATGAGCAAATTGGTTCCACTGCATGTTTTTAAAGCTTGGTGCAATGCTATTTGATACTGTTGGAACTTGTCAATGTCTCTAGGTATGTGAATGCAGCCCTGTACATATGATGTCCTTTTGTGTTATCTGTTGTTTTATGTTCATGTTGTAACCTACTTGCTGCCATGTTGGGCAGGTCTCCCTTGAAAAAGAGATCAATGATCTCAATGGGACCATCTGGTTGAATGAATGAAGAGAGCCTCAGGAAACAGTCACCAGCAAATCTTCATACAACAGGGCCCCAAGTCCTAATAACTGCTGACTGTGCAGACAATCAAGTTTAATCATTCTTTATTACACTTTTATCAGTGATTGTGTTTCTATAAGGATCCACCATCTGAGACCAGTCTACTGCACACTACATTATTCTGAAATGGTATTTTACTTAGACAAATTGAAAGACCATGGACATCGTTTTTAAGCTGTATGTCCGGTTTGAATGAGGATCTTTAAACTCAGCTCATGTAACTCTTAGTTTCTGTATTTGTTTAAAATCCTCCTCTTTGCTCCACAGAGTTCATCAGCAGAGATCAGAGGGTCCTGGTGGTCAGTCTGCCCAGCAGCATCAAACTCACCTGGACTCCATATTTAATGTGAGTGTGTGGCTCCCTCCAGTGAAAGACTCAAGGAACAATAAGTAAACAACTGTTTAATCCAGACCGCACCAACCCGTGAGAGCTACAAAAAATACTACAAAAACCTAGGGGTACGCAAAGATGATTTCAGTCTAGCAAGGGTAACAACAGCAGAGGTACTCATTAAACTGAGCGCCCTCCAACCTAACAAGGCCACTGGCCACGACAATATCCCCTCCAAATTCCTCAGAGACTCAGCAACCGCCATCTCACCAGTCATAGCTCACATAATTAACCTCTCCATAAAACAGGGGAAAGTACCCAAAGACTTCTAAATTGCAAGAGTAACCCCCCTGCACAAAAAGGGCAGCAAATTGGACCCAGGCAACTACCGCCCTGTCTCTATACTTACCTCCATCTCGAAAGTCATGGAAAAAATAGTATATGAACAGGTCGAAAAGTACCTCGCGGAAAAGAAACTAATCTATGAATTTCAATCTGGCTTTAGAACATCCCACTCCACTGACACATGCCTTCTTTATTTGAGCGACCACATCAAACAAGAGGTGGACGAGGGCAAGTACTGCGGCATGGTGATACCTACAAAAGGCTTTCGACACTGTCAATCACCCCATTCTGATTGACAAGCTAAAAGCAATTGGTTTTGATAAACTATCGGTGAGCTGGATGCAATCCTACCTGGAGGGGAGAGAACAGATGGTGGAGGTAAACGGTACTCGGCCCCCCCCCCCTCCCAGTGAGCTGTGGTGTTCCACAAGGAAGCATATTAGGTCCGTTACTGTTCCTAATTTATGTAAATGACATGTCATCAGCATGTGACTGCAACTTGTTCCTGTTCGCGGACGACTCAGCCCTGCTGGTCTCTGACAGGAACAGGTTGCAGGTTGAAAAAACCCTCAGCTCCGAGCTCGGCAGAATCTGCACCTGGCTCGCCGATAATAAATTATCATTACACCTGGGTAAAACAGAGTCCATTCTCTTCGGTTCGAAACATAATCTCAGCAAATCCGACGACTTCTCAGTTGCAGTGGGCGACATTATTGTCACAAGTAAGAAGGAAATTACATACCTAGGATCTATTCTTGAGGCAAACCTCTCCTGTGACAAAATGGCATCCAATGTAATAAAAAAAGTCAATCAAAGAACTAGATTCCTATACCGGATCTCCTCTCTGGTAAACAAGAACATCCTGAAGACTCTGGCAGGAGCACTCATTCAAGGGTACTATGACTATGCTTGCACGTCATGGTACCATAGCACCTCCAAGGCGCTAAAAATAAAACTTCAAACATCGCAAAATAAACTGGTCAGAATACTGCTTGACCTTTCATCTAGAACCCACCTCACCTCTGCCCACTTTGACAACCTAGGATGGCTTAGAGTAGACGACAGAGTACAGCTACTTGCAATGGGCCTGGTCTACAAGATCCACTACACCTCTATGGTACCCATGTACATGTCAAAATTCTTCCCAAAGGTCAAGGAATACCATGATCATAACACCAGAGGGAGCTCCACAAATCATGTGAAACCCAGATTTGGCACAAAAAAGGGGGAATACACGTTTCGCAATTATGCCACATCAAGGTGGAACGCTCTTCCCACAACTGTAAAGGAAAGTAAAACTATACTTACCTTCAAAACCTCTCTTAAAGAGCACCTTCGGGGGAGAGCATTGCAAAACTGGCCCCGGTAATGGTACAAATCTCAACCTGTCGTTCAATGGACAGCTTCCCCCCCCATCTATGTATATACTCGCATTTTAGACTCTGTTACTAACAGTGGCGGCGCCAGAGATTTTCTCTAGGGGGTGCTGTGGGGTAGCTTGACGTTTCATAGAGGGTGCTCAAACATTTAGGGTTTCCCATTAATGCACCAGCGCTACAGTTGAATTTTCTACTGCAACACTCCCCACGCACACACACACAGTGCACCCGCGACTGTTACAATGAAGGCTCGATAATCAGCTCACGGCATATAGGCAGGGGTAAAGTGCTATTTTTACAAGTGGGGAGCGGACCTCACCTCCTCTAGGAGGGTCCTCACCTCCTCTAGGGGGGTCCGGGGGCTAGCTCCCCCGGGAAGATTTGTTGTTACATATTTAAGTTAAAAGCATCAATCTGGTGCACTTTGAGAGCAACATTAAGAGATCTATGGATACATCTCAACACCCATACGAAACAGAACTGTCAACAGATTTTCTATTTCTTTATAGATATTTTACAAATCACTCCCCTTTTAAAACAAACCGTTTGAGACCCACTGAGATAACTAGACTAAAGTTAACTATCTAAACACTGAGAGTCCTTTACTTCACCTGAGTTGAGGTTATCTGAGACTCTCCGTCTGACAGGAGAGAGTTCTCCCTCCACCTTGTTGTTGAAAAAGCTCCTTATATCCATTAGCTTGGCTAGCTAGCACCAGATGCTAACCACAACGATCTCCGGTAGATACCCACTGGTGCGCGAGGCGAGCTCTCTCGCTCGCTCGCGCACGCACGCACACAAAATGGCTCGTGCCACACACACACACACACACACAGAGCAGGGCTTGAATGAAACACAGAGACCCAGAAGTAAGCTACTTGTACTCACGAGGCCTATTATGTGCAGAATCCCTCTCGCTTTCAGTTGGTTTTGATTGAGTGTCCACACGTGGTCGTTTAAGGACTAAAAAACGATCCATTTTTCACTTTGCTGTTAGCAAATCATTTGGCGCTCTAGCTAACAGGAAGTCAATCAAGTGTCACAAAGTAATTTAGCCTATGGGTAGGTCAAAAATCGAATGGGTGCTGACCATTGGCCTAATCATATCACCTGTGTTGGCTTTATGTTTTTGGTCAAAAATGTGTTTGTTTCACATATGCATTGATGTAATTAATAATATTTCTAATTTAATTTAATAAAAATAATAATAATAATTTTCGGAAGAAAAAAAAAACACATATTTCTTGGGGGTGCTTAGGGGGTGCTTTGGCAATCCTGGGGGGTGCTTCAGCACCCCCTAGCTCCCCCCTGGCGCCGCCCCTGGTTACTAACTGTATATCTGTAGACTTGGTATGTCTTAAATGTCCGGTTAGGATGTATTAGAACTAGGGCTGTCAAACGATTACAAATTTTAATCAGATTAATCACAGCTTAAAAATTAATTAATCATGATTAATCACCATTCGAACTATGTCCAAAATATGCCATTTATTTATGTATATTGTTGTGGGAATGGAAAGATAAATGAAAGAAGGCGGATATATCCATTTAACATACAGTATCTATGTTTATTATAACATTTTTCTGCGTGTCAAAATGAAAGACAACCCACACACCTATCAATCATCAAACCGTGGGGTCTTAATTCATTACGTGTTGATTTCTATCAACGGGGGAGTACTTCAGGAAAGTCGACGGGGGGGGGGGGCTAGTGGAGTACTTCGTGACCACAGAGTGTGAACGTTGTGATCAGCTGTTTTAGCGCAGTTCTCCAGTGAAGGGGGGGAGTCTCCCTCCGCAGCCGGTTGGCGTAGTTTTGGCACAATTCCGTTGTACAGACCGACGTTAACAGCAGCCCTGTCTGTGCACACGGAGACCGACTCTGTCGTCCGGTGATCTAACCGCCTTCTGGAAAAGCTTCACAAGTACGTCGGTACGCAAATGCACTTTGTGACACAAGTGACGGTACGCATTTCAGATTACACACATAACCTGCGTACCAGTTATGTGCACCCCTGTACTACAGCAAAAGTATTCTCCGTCGGGACTTCCTGCAACAACACCACGCCGTTATCAAATATGTTCTATTGAGAAGACGATCACTACGTGACAAAAGTTTTCAAAACCGAGTTGAGTAAAGTTAGAACGATATTGGCAGATTCGGATTTCACGGATCAATAACTCATGAACAAAATGTTATTCAGACACAAATGACGTCTCCTAAGTATCGTGGTAAGGTTGACAACGAACTACAATCACATGTTGATAAAAAAAAAAAGCCAATATGCGCCGTCCTCAAAACTGGACAAATTACATTGGTCTCTATCTGCAGCCGGAAAAGGAATGAGTGCTCAGGGACCGTCTGCAAAGTGCAACTCCGAAAAAAGAGAATACAATAATATTCAATAATATTCACTAGCGTCACTATTATACAGTGGAGTGCTACCAAACTCACTACACACATCAATAGTCTCCTGGTGGTTGGACTACAGCAGAGAGTTTGGAAGAATGTGCTTTTGAATAATTTTGGTGAATATTTATGGTGTAAAATCTTCAATAAATATGGTATAATCTTCAATAGCGTCACTATTATACAGTATATGTCTCCCAAACTCACTACACACATCAATAGTCTCCTGGTGGTTAGGTCCCCAACACATTATATCATATATTTTGCATTTAAAAGGTCAAATGCTTATTTTTAAAAGCTTGGTTTTACATTTTTATTACCCTCTACTATAAAACATCAATGTTATTTACCCAGGATATTCAAAATGCTAAATAATTAGTCTGATTTTAGCACAAGTAGGCCAAATTGTTGTGTCCCAAATCATGTTTGCTCAACTTCTCTAACAGATATAAACAAAGAAATCAAATTCTACATTTTTGTCACTATTGTATAACCCTTTTATTAATATTCCTCACCAAATTTAAATTGTTGTTAATTCAATTTTCTTGATTTAATTTTTTTTTAAAGTGTGTGTCCCCTGTTTGAATGTCCCCCCTGTTACTCTGATTTGAATCCCTCTGGACACGCCCCTTTACTATTCTACTATTTGTATGACTCAAGAAGAAGGATACATTTTGAGTGGGAAAATCATCTTCAAGAAGCAGAGTAAGTATGCACTCTTCCTTCAACGATTTTTTAATGTTTTTAACGAACTTAACTATTGCGGTAAAGCATAACATGTCCACCCTGTTATGCTCATTTTGTGTGGAAACTGATCAAAATGTTTACATTTAGAAAAAAATGTGAATATATATATCAAATATCGTTCTCTGTTGTGACAAGTGCTAGCTTGATTATCATCACACATGTAGCAATAGCCAAGTTTAGCATGAAATGTCCACCTTGTTACCGTCTACCCTGTTACTATTTTTCACAGTAACAGGGTGGAATTATTTAAACATAATATCCTGAGTTTAACCAAAACATGTTTCTTATACTTTAACAAGCCATCATTCAGATTAAATTAAAAAAATTATGTTTTTTTATTTTTATTAACCTAGCTGAAGTTAGTTAGTATTTGTTCAACTGAAATGTTACTGAATTAAAACTACAAACAAATGTTATTTGTTCCTGTGATGTAATATTACACATTTTAAAATGACAAATGACTATTTTTGCAAATCAAAACAAAAACCCAACTTAGTGTTACATATTTGAACACAGTTTTTTATTATATGTGCTTCTAAAAAGTTTACTTTTTATCTTTTTATATTGAGAAAAACTATTTCGCTTTGCCTTTCCTCCTTTAGGTTAGAGGAAGTTTGAAAATAATGGGAAGAGTTAAAAAAGGAAAGAGGGCCCAGAGGAAGGACTTATGGGCAATGGCTGGTGGAATGGAAGCATTGGTCCGAGGACTGAAGAGTGTTCACATTACCAAAAGAGATACAGGACATTCTTCATATATTTGGTCGGAACTCGCTATAATCCTTTTTGGTCATGATGATAAGAAACACCGTCATTGGCTGTGGGTTGTATGGATCAACAATCGAAAAGGATTGAGGGATTTGATCAATAAACGTCAAAAATCATTAGAGCAGAAGGAAGTTCAGGTAATGGAGGAAAATCAAAACGAGAGAGATGTTGGAGGGGAATGTTCTGAAGACTGTCTTTCAAAGGACTTGCCTCTGAGCATGATTCAGCATAAGGTATCGAATGAGGCAGAAGACAAACAACAAAGGATGTCTTCTCAGAGTGGACTTGAAGATGACCAGTTATCAGATGAGGACATAGACAAGAATGAGGCAGAAGACAAACAACAAAGGATGTCTTCTCAGAGTGGACTTGAAGATGACCAGTTATCAGATGAGGACATAGACAAGAATGAGGCAGAAACTGAAGAACAGAATTTGCAAAGAGGAGCACAAGATGTCAATAAAAACACAGGCACCAAAACACATTGGCGGAAGTTGCCAGTAGTATCTAAAAGGTTCGGAATAACAGTAAATAGAAAGAAATGGCAAAAGATTGTTCCTTTGACGGGTTCAAACAAACTGAGGCAACCGTAGACCGACGTGTTGTACAAGAGTTTCCGAGAGAAAAATCCCTGTTGTACGCTTGCCTTCAAGAGTCACCACATAAAAACTCCCAACAGCAGGAAAATTAAAAGTCCGTACTTAAACATCTGTGCAGTTTGTACATTCCCTTCCTGCAGGGCCAAATTCTTCTTTAAAATCCAAAATCAGCCAGTGGGAGACACCCTTGTTAAAATATCTGTGCTGCAAAGAGGGAAAATGGCACACAAAGCAAATGAGACAAAATTCCGACCAGCAGCAAACAGAAGAAGAGGCAGAATTGCAAGAGCCCTGCATAAAGGAGTGAGTCAAGTATTTTACAGTAAACTTAAAAAAACACCTGTTGCTGAACTGATTTCAGGAAACATAAGCCGTAGTCTGAACAAAAATGTTCTCAAAGTGATACGTTCAGAAGTAAGAAGAGGTAAAGGAATCCATGAGGATGTTTTCATGGAGATGTACCTCACACAAATGATCATTAAGGAATGTGACTCAAATTATCGCAGGATGCCTGGGTACATACAGCATTTTCAAGTTGACCCATTTGGAGTACATATGTATTCTGAAACCGGAGTAAACATAGTTGTGCAACACCTGAGAAAGAAGAAACCGCTGACCCTATATCTAGATGCTACAGGTAATGTTGCATCCAAAGTCCCAGGTCAGACCAAAAGAGTGCTTTATTACTGCCTCACTCTTCCTGGAGGTGGTCAGCAAGTACCTCCCCTCCCAGTCTGTGAAATGCTGACAAATGAACACTCCATTCCACCAATCACATTCTGGCTAATGCAGTTCCTCCGCAAACTGTCACAGTACACTCAAATAAAAGTACATCAGGTAGAAACAGACTACAGCTGGGCCCTGCTCCAAAGTGTTCTCCTTTCTTTTAACAAAGAGAGCATTGTCAGTTACTTGGACAGGGCTTTCGCTATCTGTTCAAAGCTGAAGTCATGGAAGGAAATCAAAATGTTGACAGTGCTACACATTTGCTCTGCACACGTGCTGAAAGCTGTAGCTCAGTCAATTGGGAGAAGGACTGCAGACAAGGGTTTGAAGGAATTTGCAACATTTGCATTTGCGAGGTTGCAAAATGCTACTTCAATGACCACAGCACTACACATCTTCCGCTCACTGTGCACTGTGTTGATTGGAAAGCACAATTCCAATGCTGTCCTGATCCATCTGAAAGCCATGAAGGACTTCATAAAAGAATGCAGGATTCCCGACATGGAAGAGGGGGACAAGTTAGGAGACAGTCCCTTAACTCAGGAGGAAGATGATGAAGAAAGAAGAAATGCCCACACAATTGTTGGCAGATCTCCCTTCACATATGAGTTTAGGAAGGTCATGGAGGAGGTACAGGGAGAGCTTGAAAAAGAGGAGGTCGAAACCCCACAGGATGAAAATCCATACTTTTGCCCTGGCATTGTTGATGTCCTTTTTGACAACTATCTAGGGATTTTTCCCCTTTGGAGTGGGCTGCTGTTGGGGAATTTGAAAAGATATGCAACTGACACAGAGGAAGACACTTTTGGCCAAAGTAAAACAAGGGACACAAACTGCCATGTGGAGAGATGGTTTGGAATAGTCAAACATTCTATTCTAAAAAAGCAGAGACGACTGAGGCCAGCGACATTCATCAGAAAGATGTATGGCTCTCTCCAGGGGAGGTACAGAGAACACATAATGGCACATCACTTATCTGAGCAGTTACTCCTCAAAACTTTGCTACCAAAAGACATCAGTCAATCGAAGGAAGGTTGGGCAAAGAGAGATGGAGCAAAGCCTCGCACTTCCAGCTCCAAATATTACACCACTCCAGACATTCTTCCAGTTCCAAAAAGAGCAAAGTTAACTCTGAACACTGGTGAAGATATTCAGAGCAGCACAGATGTGGAGAACAGCAGCAACCCCACAAGTAAAGGGTCCAAGCCTGCAACAGAGGTATTGTTTTGCTATATTAAAATGTATGCTTTAAAAAGAGTAACAAAGTAAGCAATTCTTCGAGCTATAAAAACAACGTTAAGAATGCATTAAAAACGTTTTAGCATGAGGCAATCTTTCTGTCATAGAAAACGTAGAAAATCTAAATGCCGAAATCTCGAATGCTGTACGAAGTTATTATGATACCATTGTTCATTTCATTTTAGGTTGATGCCCTTTGGACATGCAAACCAACTGAAGTTGTTGTGGCTGTTGTAAGACATGCTGAAGAGAAGCATAATTTCACCCTGAGGCACAGAGAATTTCAGTGTTTGAGACCTGACGAACTCATCATAGGCGAGGCAAGTATTTATTAAAACTTATGCTGTACCGGACTGCTCATCTCACGTAAGCCATATGTTAATGATTCAATTGTTGACAAAAAGTATGTAAATGATATCCAAGTAAATTGTTAGGCCAGTCCACCTGGAGTGTGACTTTAAATAGACCAGTTTTAATTTATCCATTCTAAAATGATCTGACAATGATGTGATTAAAACCGACTTTGGCCTCTATATTAGCTGGCATTTTGTATGACTATTTCCCCTACAATTTATCCAAAAGGTAATGGAATGTTACATTAGAGGCATCCTCAACCTGAAGGATAATGCTGGTCGTCTATATCTCCTGGATCACTACACCATGGGTGTAATCCTACACGGCACCCGAGAGCAGATAGCCAGGCAAGAGCTAAAAAAGGTGAGTGAAACTGATTATTCAAAGTATTTTCATCCCTTTAGTATTGTAGGCTTGAGAAAGGAGACAGATATGTGTCTACAGGCAACTTCCAGCGTTATTATATGTATGTCGTTTTTGGAGACATTTGTTTTGTTTTTAACCAATACATTTATAATCTAAGCTTCCCTTTTTTTCTTGTTCCTGTTGAGAAAAATAAAAAATGAATACTGTGTAAATTAAATTATTGTTTTGCACCTGTATATTATAGAAAATAACACTTATGTTTACATGTTCCCTAATTTTTTCAGGTGACATTTGATCTCTATGATGGAGCCATTGGATTTGTCAATATAAGAAATGTGCACTGGAAGTTTGTGGTGAGTATACAGCTACTCGTGTAGTCATACTGTAGCTGCTTTTAGAGTTTGCACATTTCAAGTTCATCAACTATTACTTTGAAGATGTATGATTACATTTATTCAAATGCATACAACTAAATATACATTGCTATTAAAACATATTGCAATACATTACTCATATACTGTGACAGAGTTAAGACTAACATGTGTATCTCATGCAGCCCCATTTTGTAAATGCATCTTTGCCTCAGGACTGATTTAAAAATGCTTCTTTTAGTTTTAATGTCTTCACGTTCATCTATATCATAGGGAAACCATATAACATGTAGTCCAAAATAAGTACTCATTCAAACATTTCTCATTGGTGGTCGCTACTGCTCCGCTAAAGATTTGAGTCTTCTGACCCCAAATTGTGCAACTTTCTTTCATCTGATATCTTTAATTATTTCAATACTTTTAAGTCTTAATTATACCCATTTAAAATGGGTAGTTATTATTTTAGTATTACTTTTAATAGCTTTTTTAACAGTTGAAGTGATTTTAATAACTGTGGTTTTCATTTTTGAAGAAAAGCTGATACATTATTGTTGCTGCTGACATATTGAAAAAGGTTTGGTTTAATTATATCGTATGCTACTTTTTAAAACAGTACCTCCATGCCCTTTCAAACCACATTTATGTGGTTGATCCTCTGCAAGGGTCAAATGAAGTTGAGGACTCCAGAAAGGCTGGTTACAAATTTGGGTAATATAAAATATATTACAGGAAATACATTGGTTAAACGCACATTTGGTAAAGGCAAAGAGTAAGCGCCAATTACATTTTATTTCCTCTTGTTCTAGAGAGTATTTCAAGATGCACCGGAACAGACTGGGAAAAGAGGACTGGGTTAACATCAAATGGCAGCCTGGAAAGATAACCCACACCTTCCAGAAAGATGCCACCAGTTGTGGAGCCTTTGTCATGCAGGTGATTTAATGCAACATGTTGTGTTCATTAATAATAAAGCATTTTATTTTAAAGGGAAATTCAAAAACACGTCATAACGTCATGTTATTTTACCATCTGTCCAGATGGCCGAGATGACAGTGAAGGAATTTCCCAAAATTCCACAGACGTTTCACATCAAGTCATCAAAACAATGTCTTCAACATCTACGAAGGGACATGGCAGAATAAATTCTCAAAGGATCAGGTATTAGCCAAAAATATGAAATGAATATATGGACGGCTTCCTGTAAATTGAACCGGTTATTTGTTCAGTTTCAAAGGATGACTTCTGTTCCTTCTGTGGGATTGAGGACCTGCCCACAACTGCTGTTGATGCTGTTTGGGTGAGACTACATGATGAATTGTTTTGAAACTCCAGAAGATAATCTGAATAGTAGATAATATATATATCATCTGGAGTTAGATTTCAGGAATAACATAAAAGTAATGACATTTTGTATATGTGTATGCATTACAGGTTTCCTTTTTGTTTTTCTTATACTTTGTTAAAGTTTTAGCACAGATAAACCTGAATAACAACAAGTATTTATATATATAAAAAAAAGTATAATCTCTATAAAATATAAATGAATATGCCTGCTTTACAAGTGTCCTACACTTTACATTTTTTTAATATCTTTGTTGTATTTGTCCCCATGTAGATTCAGTGTGAAACTTGTGGAAGATGGTTTCACACGCAGTGCCTCGGAATGACTGCTGCATGAATACCCAAAAAAAATACCACGTGGTATTGTGTGTTGTGTATCCTCCCTAACTAAAGAGGCTATAGATGAGTTTGTGTAACTTTTACCAGAGGTACCAGGATTTGGGGAGGTAAGGCTTGTAGTTTGAACTACTACCACAGTAGAAGTATTGCACTTACAAACGGCATGTGGGGGGAAATCCAGCCCAGCCAGTGATTTGAAATCGGCTAAATGAAAGCTGCATTTTGTACAAAACAAATAAAAATCCAGAAAAAAGCTTTGCTAAAGATTTTGGGCAACTGAAGTAATGATTAATATGTTACGGTGTGTGAAGCAGGTAGGACCCAAATGCAGATTAACGTGAAAATTCCTTTATTTCAAGGCTAGGATATAAACAAAGACAAAACAGAACACTCACCGACGAACTAGTCATGACACAAGACAAAACGACAAAGACAGACAGAAAAACCAGAACTTAAATACACACAAGACTAATCACACAAACAAGACACAGGTGAGGAGGGAGGAGAAAACACAGGGACACCAGGTGAACACAATCGGGTAATCAGACACACCAGGGAAACTAACGACAGGGAACCACAGACAGATCTAAATAGGACAAAACACAACGCAGACAGAAAACCAAAGATAGATCTAGACAAGACAAAACACCATAAAGACAGATCGTGACATAATAATCACCTGTCCATAGTTTTAACTTGTTATATTCTTAATTAAGATGTTAAATATATTTTCAATTACAGATTAAAGTAGTCACAGATGTTCATGATGTTTTCCATGTCTGACATTAGATTGTGGATTTGTTCATTAATATTGTACAGTAAGATAGGTGAAAAGCCTGACATTTTTTATTTTTCAATGTTAACTTTATTTTGTCTGTTCCATCATTCACCAGTAGTTTTCCATTCACCTGTCTCACCTGTTAACCACACCCACGTTTTTGCTCACTGTCTTTCTCTTCTGCACCCATTAGCTTTACTACCAGTATTTAAACCCTCACCAGACACACACCCGTTGCCAGATCGTACTTTGCCTTCATGCTAGTCTTTCACGCGTGTGTTACTAGATTGCCTACCCGGTTCCGACCCTGCCTGTCCCCGACCTGCCTGCTCTGCCTGCTCTGCCTGATCCCTGATCCTGCCTGTACCTCCGTTGACCGCCTCGCCTGCTCCCTGACCCTCTGCCCGGCCCTGACTCACCTTCTGCCCGCTGTCCTCTGGTTCGTTTGCCTGCCCATCATCCGGCTGATACTGTTCTGTTATCCCTCTGCTCTGGTATTATTACAAATAAAGTTCATTACCAATACTCCTTGGTTTGGTTTCTCGAGTGCTGCATTTGGATCGTTCATAAGATTGTGACCATTTTACTGTTTCATAGCTAATGAAAAAGTTGTTTCATGTCTTAATTTATATATAACATACTGTAGCCTATATACAATGTGTAACATTGTATATAGGCTACAGTATGTTATAATACATTATAAATCTTCCCCAAAATTATTCCAAAGCAGATTCTTCCAAACTCTCTTCTGTAGTCCAACCACCGGGAGACTATTGATGTGTGTAGTGAGTTTGGGAGACATATACTGTATAATAGTGACGCTATTGAAGATTATACCATATTTATGGAAGATTTGACACTATAAATATTCACCAAAATTATTCAAAAGCACATTCTTTCAAACTCTCTGCTGTAGTCCAACCACCAGGAGACTATTGATGTGTGTAGTGAGTTTGGTAGAAATATACTGTATAATAGTGACGTTATTGAATATTATTGTATTTTCTTTTTTCGGAGTTGCACTTTGCAGACGGTCCCTGAGCACTTGTTTCATCTCCGGCTGCTGAAAGAGACCAATTTAATGTGTCCAGCTCGGAGGACGGCGCATATTGTTTTTTTTTTATCAACATATGATTGTAGTTCGTTGTCAACCTTACCACGGTACATAGGAGACATCATTTGTGTGTGAATAACGTTTTGTTCATGAGTTATTGATCCGTGAAATCCGAATCTGCCAATATCGTTCTAACTTTACTCAACTTCAAAACCGTGGCTGCTGAAATCAATCTTACTAACTGCTGTCTGTGCAATTTACTCCGCGCGAGTTGGCAGACTTTATTTTGCTTACTTTAACATCATTTTTCATGGTGGGGCTAAGCCATTTCTTGGTATGGGTGTAGCCTACCCCAGCCATACCCTGGCGCTGCCACTGGTGGCACGTATGGTGCGGGCCATTCTGCACATGCGTTAAATGCGTTAAATATTTTAACGCAATTAATTCAAAAAATTAATTACCGCCGTTAACGCGATAATTTTGACAGCATTAATATTTATCACTAATAAGAACGAAATCTAAAATGAAAATTGTAAACAAGCAATCTGTATGTAAAAAAACCACCTGTATGTAAATTGTAAATAAGCCATCTGTATGTCAAATATGTCTTATATGTCTTAAATGATATGATGAATTGGAAATGGGGGACCCTGATGTAAACAAGACGAAAGTATTTCTCTGGTCTGCATCCCCTTAACAATTGTATGTTTTGAGCTGTACTGTACTGTACCCAATATACAAGCTGTTAATAAACTTTTCAATCAATCTCCATAGAAACAGGAAACTACGGCAAGCATTTATGGACACACCGTGCAAAACCCAAAACCCTTTGCAGGCCCTCTTAAAGGGGAAGCACAATACCTGCAGGCTCTGTTTTGCCGAGGTCCTCTGGCACTTGCGGGCCGCCGAGGGGTGTCGGTGTTTGGGGCAACGAAGACGGCTCCGGCTGCTCCGCCTCCGTGGGCGAGGCTGGCAAAGCCGGCGAGTCGGGCGGGAGGACGATAGTGTCCACGACAGTGGCCACGGGTAACGTAATGTCCCCATGATCTGAACCTACCTGCAGTAGATGCAGTCATACTGCTGGCGATAAGGGCTGGTTGTTTCAACCATTTTCTGATGTTCATCATTGACTGCTGTGTAAGCACCTTGTGCAGCGGCACAGGTCACGCGCACCTGACATAATAACGTTACTTACCGTTTAAATTGACCAAATAAATGCAGCAGACAACGTTATTTAACCACAATTACAATTTATTTTATTTCAACTAAATTCTTCTTCTTATTATTATTATTGTTATTATGTAATATTTTTCACTTTTAATTTTTTTTTTTATCACTTTTCATTTTTCAAATGAGGATGCAAAACGACTCAACTGAGGGTGCAATGCCCCCTTATGCACCCGCGTAGAACCGGGTCTGCTGCAATATAATGTTTAGCAATAATAGATATGACATATATTTTTGAAATGTCTCCAGTACCGATAAAAAGACCGATAACGTCGGAGCTTAACGGTACCACACTTGAATAATTAATACCGGGGCCCGGTACCCATCCCTAATCACACATGACAAAGAAGGAAACGTGAAGCGTTCGCAAGCAACAATGGCGGACACGGACAATTTGAGAATGAGTTCTGCCTTTTGTAAGCTGAGTTTGTCAATCATTGGTCGATAAATATGGGCAAAAAACGTCACTTGTCCGTCCGACACGTCAATGGAAATATGTAATTGTCCGATATTGTAAATAACACGTCCCGGACGATCGGACGTGTGCTTTTTCACACATTGGATATGGTGTTTATGCAATATGAAATCCGAAAACATAAAAAAATAAAAAATAATACTTTATTCCGAGTGTGCTTGCATTTAATTATATTAATGTGTTACGAACAGTGAAACATCAAGTCACACCTCGGTGCTGGATACCAAATGGTCAAAGTTCCTTTCTCGCATTACAACTTATTCTGCATTTATCTCCTATTTAGAGGAAGTTAGCCGTTACTCTGAGGGGTCAGAGCCATCTCCATGTCTGATTCACGCTACATTGTATTCTGTTCCAGCTGCTGGAGGAGAACATCATTACTTTTGTGAAGAACGAGCTGAAGAAGATCCAGACAGTCCTGACTTCAGATGACCCAGAATGCTTAGAGAGTCAGGACGAGGAGGTGTTGGACTGTGAGGATGAAGAACAGAGGAGGAGCAGAGAGGCATTTCTGAACGTCTCACTGCACTTCCTGAGGAGCATGAAGCAGGAGGAGCTGGCTGACCGTCTGCAGAGCAGTAAGAGGATTTAACACATTGAACATGATGGAGAGGAGGTGGAGGGAAGATGGGAGGAGTTTCACTTTATTAAACTTTGTCTTTAATCAGTGCATACGCTTATTGGTTAGTACTGGCACTAAAACATTAGTTAAGGAAGCAACAAAACATTGCACTGTAAATATTTGTTTTCTGGGTATATTATTAATAAACTAGCTGTACAGTATACAGTACACTATGATGATATAAAACTTGTGAACGTTAATGTTCACCATTCATCTGGAAACCTTAACGCGCAAATGAATCACTTTACCAAATTTGATGTATTTTGTTGACACTGACTGACATCCTACTTACTTTTTAATCACATTTCTTGTTTGTCCTCTCAGTAACTGCTGCTGCAGTCTGTCGACGTAAACTCAAATCCACCCTGAAGGAGAGGTTCCAGTGTGTGTTTGAGGGCATCGCTAAAGCAGGAAACCAAACCCTTCTGAACCAGATCTACACAGAGCTCTACATCACAGAGGGGGGGTCTGCAGAGGTCAATGCTGAACATGAGGTCAGACAGATTGAAACAGCATCCAGGAAACCACACAGACCAGAAACATCCATCAGACAAGAAGACCTCTTTAAAGCCTCACCTGGAAGAGATGCACCAATCAGAGCAGTGCTGACAAAGGGCGTGGCTGGCATTGGGAAAACAGTCTTAACACAGAAGTTCACTCTGGACTGGGCTGAAGGCAAAGCCAACCAGGACATCCAGTTCATATTTCCATTCACCTTCAGAGAGCTGAACGTGGTGAGAGAGAACAAGTACAGCTTGGTGGAACTTATTCATCACTTCTTCTCTGAAACCAGAGACGCAGGAATCTGCAGGTTTGATCAGTTCCCGGTCGTGTTCATCTTTGACGGTCTGGATGAGTGTCGACTTCCTCTGGACTTCCTCAACACTGAGATCCTGACTGATGTCACAGAGACCACCTCAGTGGATGTGCTGCTGACAAACCTCATCAGGGGGAAGCTGCTTCCCTCTGCTCGCCTCTGGATAACCACACGACCTGCAGCAGCCAATCAGATCCCTCCTGAGTGTGTGGACATGGTGACAGAGGTCCGAGGGTTCACTGACCCACAGAAGGAGGAGTACTTCAGGAAGAGATTCAGAGATCAGGAGCAGGCCGGCACCATCATCTCCCACATCAAGACCTCACGAAGCCTCCACATCATGTGCCACATCCCAGTCTTCTGCTGGATCTCTGCTTCAGTTCTGGAGGAGGTGTTGAAAACCAGAGAGGGAGGAGAGCTGCCCAAGACCCTGACTGAGATGTACATCCACTTCCTGGTGGTTCAGTCCAAAGTGAAGATCATCAAGTATGATGGAGGAGCTGAGACAGATGCACACTGGAGTCCAGAGAGCAGGAAGATGATGGGGTCTCTGGGGAAACTGGCTTTTGAGCAGCTGCAGAAAGGCAACCTGATCTTCTATGAGTCCGACCTGACAGAGTGTGGCATCGATATCAGAGCAGCCTCAGTGTACTCAGGAGTGTTCACACAGGTCTTTAGAGAGGAGAGAGGACTGTACCAGGACAAGGTGTTCTGCTTCGTCCATCTGAGCGTTCAGGAGTTTCTGGCTGCTCTTCATGTCCATCTGACCTTCATCAACTCTGGAGTCAACCTGCTGGCAGAAGAACCAACAACCTCCTACCGATGGACTAAAGTCAAACCTACACTAACACATCTCTACCAGAGTGCTGTGGACAAGGCCTTAAAGAGTCCCAACGGACACCTGGACTTGTTCCTCCGCTTCCTCCTGGGTCTTTCACTGCAGACCAATCAGAAACTCCTACGAGGCCTGCTGACACAGACAGGAAGTGACTCAGAGACCAATCAGGAAACAGTCCAGTACATCAAGAAGAAGATGGATGAGGATCTGTCTCCAGAGAGAAGCATCAACCTGTTCCACTGTCTGAATGAACTGAATGATCGTTCTCTAGTGGAGCAGATTCAACAGTCCCTGAGTTCAGGAAGTCTCTCCACAGATAATCTGTCTCCTGCTCAGTGGTCAGCTCTGGTCTTCATCTTACTGTCATCAGGAGAAGATCTGGACGTGTTTGACCTGAAGAAATACTCTGCTTCAGAGGAGGCTCTTCTGAGGCTGCTGCCAGTGGTCGAAGCCTCCAGGAAAGCTGTGTGAGTGGAAGGATGGATGGAATACAAACATTATCCAACTTGTTGTTATGTCATAGATGAGAAATAATGCTAAAAATGTTTTATTTATTTAAAATCCTCCTTCAGACTGAGCGGCTGTAAGCTGTCAGAGAGAAGCTGTGAAGCTCTGTCCTCAGTCCTCAGCTCCCAGTCCTCTAGACTGAGAGATCTGGACCTGAGTAACAACGACCTGCAGGATTCAGGAGTGAAGAACCTGTGTGCTGGACTGGAGAGTCCACACTGTGAACTGGAAACTATTAGGTAGGTGTAACATAGTTTAAAGTCAGGGTCCTCTGAGCTCTCTTTTTCATGTATTACTTGTTTTTTGGTCTGATGAAAACCCTCTTTTAGGCTGAGCGGCTGTAAGCTGTCAGAGAGAAGCTGTGTAGCTCTGTCCTCAGTCCTCAGCTCCCAGTCCTCTAGACTGAGAGAGCTGGACCTGAGTCACAACGACCTGCAGGATTCAGGAGTGAAGCACTTGTCTGCTGGACTGGGGAGTCTACTCTGTGAACTGGAAACTCTCAGGTCAGGATTTTGCAATTTATTTTAAGTTTACCCCTTACGATTTCATTGGCTTAATATATTTAATCAAAACTGCGGTAGCAGATGTGCGCGCAGTGATGAGCGGGCCCTCGCGTCCCTGTGCCTGTCGGGGAGGTTAGCTGGTCGTCCCGGCGTCAAGCAGACGCGCGCGAGTCCTCGGAAATGAGCAATTTGTCATTTCTATAATTTTCGCGTCCCAGACTCCCAGGTCCTCCGGCAGCGACCCGGAAACGAATGTCGGCGCGCCGTCTCGATGGAAAACAAATTTCTCTAAAGGCTCGTCGAGGATCGACACTATTATAATTACGTGTTTCTGCACTTCCTCTAAGAAGAAAGGACAGTAACAGAAGAGATGTGGCTTCAGGCTTGATCGCCGTTCAAATGACACCGTTGGTTTGCCCAAAAGTGGGCGGGCTGTAAAGTGACGTAGATTTTACTCTCATCTATTATTCAAAACCATTATATTTATTCTAATGTACATTACATGCCAGTGTTTTATCTTTTTATTGATTTGTTTTTATTTTAAATCGTATAATGTCGGACTTTTTTTGCCGTCTGTGAGGAAAATAAATGGCTCAGAGCCTCAAAATACTGAAATCTGTATTTTTAAAATATTTGTTTCCTTCTAATTTGTTATTCTTTTCTAAATAACACACTGTTATTTACTCAACAATAACACACAAGTATCCTTGCTTTTATATATTGGTTTAATTCTATAATCTTGGGCTTTTTAGCCGTAAATAAAGTCACCGGAAACAGACGTTTTGGCCTATAAGGGACATTTTGAGCGATACACACCACAAACCACCCACTGAAGAGATTACCCAAGATCCTCAGCTTGAAGCTCGTTGATTGGATGTTTTAGCCGCAATGCACGTTGGGATATGGTATTAATGCGATATGATAAAACATTTAAAAAAAATAAAATAATACTTTATCCCAAGTGTTCTTGCTTTTCTCTTTAGAAGTCATCACATAACGGCATTGTAATACATGGTTCGGCTGCATTAAATATTACATATCTGCTGTAGTTCTTTATTTATAGAGCCCTGATGAGAAGACTTCTGGACAAACAGGAAGAACTGTCGCCAAAACTGAATATGTGACGTGGATCATAAATATATCAACAATTAAACAACACCTTGCATTTATTTTCACAAAATACGTCTCCTTGCAGTATCAACACTAATTCGGCTGACTTTTATATTTGATCCAATCGGTAGATAGGTTATATTTACACCATAACGGTGCACAGCTGATAGAAAAGGACTTGTAGTTTTTAAAGATATTACTGATTTTCTTTGAATTAAAGAATGTAAATACTGAGTTGAGAGAATAGTCAGGGGATTTGGGTGATGGGAGACACATCTATGGAATCACAGTTTCAATAGCTTACCATTAAATGACGGATATACCTTTCTGTCTGTGATGTTTTACAAATCAGATATTAATGTGTAGAAATAAAACGTGAGAAATAGTATAGTATAATCCTGTAGAATTATGTAAAAGCATGAATAAAACTACACATCTTCAGATGTTATACATACATAAGTGTCCTACACTAATAATACAAAGTTATTATTAGTATGATGTGTGTACCTTGTGTGCACCGCCTAGTGGTTAAAGCACCTTATTGAATTATTTGTGTTGAATAATGTTATTTTTGTTGAATAATGTTATTTGATGAAAAACAAATATTAAGAGTACATACTTTCAGAGGGGGAAAGTAGAAGGTCAATGATAGAAATATAGAATATAAAAAGTCAAGAAGATACTGTAAGTGATCTCTACAATAAAACAGTTTAGTGCCGGATGTACAAAGATATTAATAGGAGGATGTGCAAAACAGACAAACTAATTAACCTTTATTAACACATTAAAGAATACTTTAGGATAAGGTCTTCTTTCAAATAAGAAAAACACTTTAGGGGTATCTATCTACAGATAAATATTAAGCCTGACAAAGTACTTAACGTCTAATATATTGCTTTTCTGCAATGTTAACTATGTTGAAGCACATATTTTAACTGATATTATACATATGGATTATACTCTTATGTATGTAGATATAATAAGAAATGTGCAGAATATGACAGTTTAATGGTGGAGGTACACACATATTGATAGATGTCTTGTAATGCACTGTTGAGGAACCTGTGACCCAAGATTTGCATTCATTGCACAACTACTGTACACCGTAGTTGTGTATAATATGATATGTCAATAAACCTTAGAAAATCTTGAAATCTTGAAAGGGATGTGCAAAATAGCCATTATACAGTTTTTAATTAACTATTAGTAAAGAATAACGAGTAATGAATATACTTTATTACTCGTTTCCATTTATGTCAATTGCAGATACATGTTTAGTCTTCTCAAGCACCAACTATCAAATATCTCTCCTGATTGTTGGCACTTGACAATCACCTTACCTGCATTTTACTCAGGTGTAACTAAAGTCTGATTTAAGGGTTGTTTATATTTCACATCATTAATCAGAATCTGCAAAGTAACTCAAATAAATGTAGTGGAGTACAAATACCAGGTTAACCTCTGAATTGTAGTGGAGTAGAATTACAAAGTAACAATGAGCTGTCATGTGTCCATAATGCTGCGCATTATGGACACAAGCGATTTTCACCCATTTATTAATTACATGTTTTAAATGTGTACACACCAATGTGTTTCCTATCGCCTAAACCTCCAGGGCTGTACACAGTTTAATACTGTCAACTTCTAATTTTGGGGAAAACGTCTTTTAAAACTACAATTCCCAGTAGATACGTGCCATAGAGAACATGTTGCGAAACACAATAGCCAGCATGTGTAGTTCTGGGGGGCGTTCAAGTCCAGTTTTGAATAGTCTGCCGTGGTTTCGTTCCATTTCAAAGAGCTTGACGCTTGGCGTAACCTTGGCGCACTGCCACTCCAACATCACGGGGTTTGTCAACGGGACTGTAGTCCCAAACGATAGCTGGGGATTATGGGTAGTGTAGTGTCTTCGGCCATCCTAAACTGGACATCATATCGCATTAACAACACCACATCTGGCGTCACAGAGATCTTCTGTTACTGTCCTTTCTTCTTAGAGGAAGTACAGTAACTGGATTTGTTTTAATGTTTGAGGTGCAATAAACGACACAGCAGCTTTTTGGCATGTTACAACTATTATGTTCTGCCTCGCTCATGAGAGTAACAGCTGGCGAAATTACAGCCTCGCCTACTGATTTCAAATGTGTGCTCTAAAATGATATTTATAAATGACTATTATCATTATTATAAGCAAGACAATAAATGGCAAAGATATGTAGAAAATAAACGTCTTTGAGATACGTTCATAACGAACGTAACGTGGGAGAAAATAAGTTTCTAGCTAAACGTAATTGAGAATGCAGTTTAGTTCTGTGGGAACGTAATCTTTAGGAGACAGGGTTGGAATTGGACATTTGAGTAGGTGTGTTTTTGTGCTTCTGGTAACGGACGGACCAGTGGGGCGTGGAATACATCCTGCTTCGCCCTTAACCCAATAGCAATAGCCTTAGAGGGCGAAGCCTTATACGAAATAGAACTGGGGTTATGTACTGTAACCCAGCTTCTATGAGTATAGGCACAGCCCTCTAAGGTTCGGGCCCACAGACTCCGCGAATAGCTGAAGAAAAGCTGTTTGTGTGGGAGCAGATTGTAGGGACTACTTCCGATTTATACGGAAGTGAGGCCGGAGGTGGGGCCCACGTCATAGGTGGGCGTGGATTAAGTCTGTCAGTGCTGCACACGTGCAGTGGGATTACCCAATAGCGATAGCCTTAGAGGGCTGCGCCTATACTCATAGAAGCTGGGTTACATTACGTAACCCCAGTTTTTCCCCTTCGATTCGGAGAAATAAATATTTGTTCAGAGTTTAGGATGGCCGAAGACACTACACTACCCAGAATCCTCAGCTATTGTTCTGCTTTGCCTCAAGCTCTGTGATTGGTTGACCTCCAACTGCATTCCATATGAAAAAAAACGTTTCGTAAAAGATAAAATCATACTTTATTCAGCAGTGCTTGCTTTACTCTTTGAAAGTCATCACATGAATGCATTGTAATAAATGGTTTGGCTGCATTAAATACCTCCCCGACAGGCGCACGGACGCAAGGGCCCGCTCATCACTGCGCGCACATCTGTGACCGCAGTTTTAATTATTAATGCTGTTCTTAACTATTTAAATGATGCAGCCCCAATGGGACTACATAACGTTTTTATTGCACACGATTTATTCCATATCACACACACACATTTTATATTGTGTGGGGGAAATGTACTGAGACAAACTAACAAATAATAATAAAATGGTGAGGAAACCTTTTCCGTTATACTGAAATGAAGTTTAATGTAAAAAGACAGTCTTTTAGGGAGTTTATTTTTGCATTAAAGGGATAGTGGAAATCCGCGAATTTTGGGTTTAACTTATGTATTTTTATTAAAAATAAGCATAATAAACAATTTTTTTTAATTTCATGCGCCTAGTTTCATTTTATTTTCAATTTTACTGCGCCCTCTCAATAAAACGAAATACTTCGGGAATCGTCGGGAATCTTCGGGTGATGACGAGAGCATAGGAAGACGGGCACAAACAATGGCGGACATTCAATAGCATTTGCATGTGAATAGCCGACCTTTATTATGGTGAATAGATGTGTTTTGTATGGCTGTAGTGCGACAGCAAATGCAGAGAATGGCGTATCGACGCATGCGTTTCCAAGAAACCCAGCCATTCGTCGTCAGTGGGTGAAATTTGTTCAGATAACACGGGCAAACTTCACGGAGCCGAAGCTGACGAGTACTTCGGCAGTCGTGTGCTCGAGTCATTTTACTGACGATTGTTTCGAGATTCCTCTGTCTCTAGCTCAAATTGAAAGTGGAATACATAAGAAGTGAGTATTTTATTATGTTTTCTTGTTGATTTAATGCATCATTAGCCTGTACCATTTTGTACAACGCCATTTATCCGGTACACAGTGTTGAATGTGTACACTACAGTCATCATATAGACATGATAGACTAACAGTACTGTGAGTACAGCCTACACTTGACAGGCAGCCTGGCTAGCCTGGGATTAGGACCCTACTACGTCAAAAGACCGATTGGCTCTAGCTGTATATCATGCTAGTATACAATTCATTTCAATTTATTCATGTAATTAATGCCCATAAGGCTGTTACATATACAATAATAAATGTGACAAGATAATTTATGTGAACCTGACCCTGGACAGACCGCAATACTTTATACCGAGTATATTGCCATAAATATGATGATTGATTATCAGTAAACAATTCTACGTGACACAACGACATTGGATTAACCTTGAGATGCGTTTTTATTCCGTTGAACACAACTTTTGATCACAAATCAAAAAAGGTAAGACGTAATTATTGTAATATTTTTGGAACCGGATGTTGTTTACTTTCTCTTTTCTGGCTGATAGCTCCAGGAATTGGAGGTCTTACAGTGATGACATTACATGTGTGGAATCTGTGGAGTCTCAGCTTTAAATCGTATATCTTGTTTGTGCAGTAAAGATAGTAATAAGGGCATTTCTACCGTGTGTTGTGTGTAAAAAAGCGTTAGCATTAGTTAGCATTGTTTCACTCAATGCTAATTCAAAGGCTTGGTATTACTCGTGTTTTTTCTAGCTAACAATTGTTCTTATTGTCAGTTAGCGGAGTTTCTTACCTTTAAAAGGGTATGAAACATTAATAGTTTCATAAATGTTAAGAAGCCCTGAGACATGTGAGAGAAAAAAAACGGTGGGAGGGGTCCACTGGGGGGACCTTCGGCCTTAACTGGTTAACAATGATTAATATTTGTAAAGGCTACAGGTGATCTTAAGATGCGTGAGCTATGCTTAGGGACCTACCAGTCAAGATTATTTGTGCGTAGGGGTGCATCATCTGGCGCCTGGTCCTGGTCATCCTCGCCATTGCCCATGCCGTGAACCATCACCTCGGACTCGGGCTCGAACAAATAAGGACGTAATGGTCCATCGTCTGGCTCAATATTGTCACCATCGTCGCTTACTGAACCGGATTCAGATTCAGTTCCTAAAACGACATTTTCGTAGGAAAGCCGAGAGGATGTTTCTGACTCGCTATCATCACTGGATACCTCGTACAATCCTTCTTCTTTGTCTGGTATATTTGCCCTTCCACGTTCATTCTGCATAGACGCCATGGTTTGTTATCGTATCGTCTTCCTAAGTTTTCGTCACTTCCGGTTTGGCTGAGTCGAACATTTCGTTTCTAAAAAACTTCGGGGAAGCTGCAATAAAGTGCTTCTAACATGCGTAAGGCAATTATTATATTTTTTTAATCAGGTGTGATTGTTTTGGTAAGTAATTATGCTTGTATATAAGTTAAAACGAAACTATTTGAGGTTCCATTTCCACTATCCCTTTAAGTTACATTGTACAGAGTGTCAAGCAGTTTGTTGGATTATGTTGGGAGTTAGAGACTGGTTGTGGTAACAGTTCATAAAAACTATAGAATGTCCTCTATAAACATTCATAAAACAATATGCTGTGTGTGTGTGTGTGTGTGTGTGTGTGTGTGTGTGTGTGTGTGTGTGTGTGTGTGTGTGTGTGTGTGTGTGTGTGTGTGTGTGTGTGTGTGTGTGTGTGTGTGTGTGTGTGTGTGTGTGTGTGTGTGTGTGTGTGTGTGTGTGTGTGTGTGTGTGTGTGTGTGTGTGTGTGTGTGTGTGTGTGTGTGTGTGTGTGTGTGTGTGTGTGTGTGTGGTGTGTGTGTGTGTGTGTGTGTGTGTGTGTGTGTGTGTGTGTGTGTGTGTGTGTGTGTGTGTGTGTAGGCTCTCAGGTTGTCTGGTCACAAACAAAGGCTTTGCTTCTCTGACTTCGGCTCTGATCTCCAACCCCTCCCATCTGAGAGAGCTGGACCTGAGCTACAATCATCCAGGAGACTCAGGAGAGAAGATGCTGTCTGCTCTACAGGAGGATCCAGACTGCAGACTGGAGACTCTCAGGTATGGAGAGACCTCACTCTCTAGGTTTAAGGTTTAAACCTGTGTAGTTCAGGGGAAAACAACGTTTGATAACATGTGTAACACACATGGCCCTTTCAACCTCCTTGCTCCGATTCAACCCATCTTCAAATTAATTTAGACTTTTCAATAATAACATTAAACATCCCTTTCTGCCACCTTTTAGCTTATTGTATTCTCTGATAATAAAATGATGCCTTCATATGACGTTTGAAATGTTCACAGTCCTTTATGTGTGAAATGTCCTTGATCATTCAGACTGTGTCTTCCTCCAGGACCGACCATTGTGGAGAGGACAGGTTAAAACCTGATGTGAGGAAATGTAAGTGTGGATTTAGGTTGATTATGATGACAAAACAGTCAGTTGAGATAAGTATTAATTATCACATTACTGACAAGATTATACATATTATCACATTTATACAAAATAAATATAATAAACAGCGCCTGTACAAACACAAAGAAAAAAGCCTTCTTATGTATTTTCTGATAAACAGATGCTGTGTTTTTCTTTCATCAGATTCCTGTGAACTCACACTGGACCCAAACACAGCACACAGAGAACTCAAACTGTCTGACAACAACAAGAAGGTGACATGTGTGAGAAAGAAGCAGAAACATCCTGATCATACAGAGAGATTTGACTTCTGTTCTCAGCTGATGTGTAGAGAAGCTCTGACTGGTCGCTGCTACTGGGAGGTCGAGTGGAAAGGAGGGGTTTCTATATCAGTGACTTCCAGAGGAATCAGGAGGAAAGGAAAGAGTGAGGAGTCTCAGTTTGGAGGGAATGATCAGTCCTGGTCTCTCAAGTGCTCTAATGGAGAGTTTTCTGTCAGACACAATAACAATAAAACAGTCCTGCCTCTCTCCTCCCCCTCCTCCTCCTCCCCCTCCTCCCCCTACTCTCCCTCCTCCTCCTCCTCCTCCTCCTCCTCCTCCTCCTCCTCTGGTAGAGTAGCAGTGTATCTGGATCATCCTGCTGGCTCTCTCTCCTTCTACAGAGTCTCCTCTGACTCACTGACCCACCTCCACACCTTCAGAACCACATTCACTGAACCTCTCTATGCTGGGTTTGGGTTCTGGCCACATGACTCCTCAGTGTCTCTGTGTCCTCTGTAGGAGGAGACCACTTCCTGTCCTGTGGTAATGTCTCTGGTCTCGGGGGACATTACATGAGTGTAGCAAGAGATATCTTCTAGTTGTGTGGTTAACATGTTGGTAGTGACGCGGCTACACTTTGGTTAACATTTGGACCTATGATTGTGCCTTTACAGCATTTAGTTGTAATGCTCCCTTTATCTGCAAAAATGTCCAGTAATCACACTTTTTAATAAATGTTTTTTCAATGTATTCAAATGTGTTTTTTAAATGTGTCTTTTGCACTTTGTCGTAAGTATTTGTTTTTATAAAGCACTTTGAATTGCCTTGTTGATGTGCTCTATATATAAACTTTATTTTACTGGCAGAAATGTTTATTTTCTTTCTAAAATAGTGAAATGATTTCCTAGGGGCTGAACTTGTTGTGTCCAAACTGCAGCGACATATATGCAGTTTAATAAAGCTTTCTTTAGAGCAGCATCTAATAGCTCCTAATAATATATGTACACATTGTTATTAAGTTCAATAAAGGCTTGAAGACAAACAAATCTGTCAATGATCTGTTGACTCAAGACATTTCTTTTGTACCCAAAATGTTTTCATAAATGTTTATAGCCCTTGTAACGAAGGTAACTTCGAAGGTAACTTCGTTACTATGGACTGACGGCTTCGGGCCTTGTAATATTGCACATGTGGGTTTGCACTTTATGAAACAACTTCCTTTTGCATAGAAATAATGTCACTCAGCACTTTAGTAGTGAACAGTTTGCACTTTATTAGCGTGATTGCACAGTACAGTTTGACATTGCATATTTGCACATTTTTGCATAATGTATACAAATTATTGAGGTAGTATTTATGAAATGATTAAACCGTATTAATTGGAATGTCGTCTGGCAGATGCTGGTCGGGTCCTCGGCTCCACCTGAAAAGATAGGGGGGTTAGCGAGAGCGCCGAAAGTGTTTATGCTGGTGTAAGAATGACAGCGGTTGAGAATAATCAGGGTGCAAATAATATGTTAGTTTGAGCGTGTATATATCATGACGTTAAGTTGCATTAATTGTATAAGTGAACACTGTGTAAAGTTTACATCTATCACTCACCCATGCTGTCTCGTCCGGTGTCCGCTACAGTGTGTTTGGCCAAAAGGTCCTCGGGGGGAACACACACTGACAAAGAAGGTTCCGGGACGAACCAAGTGGCGAGATGGGCATAGGGGTTTCTGTTTTAGTTGGGAATGTATTTCTGTTTATCAACAAAGTCTCACTCCCTGATCGTCCAATAGTGACGTTTGGTCAAGGTCCTTTGGCGTGCAGTTGTGACGCACCGAGTCTCCTTCAGCTTCATAAACGGACGCAAAGAGCTTTCAACTGATTGCAATGTATTCCCATCGGCGGCGGTATTACATACCTGGCAATCTATTTAGTTGACTGTGACATGTGGCGATTTGAAAGAATCGTATTTTGGCTGTTTAGATGGTGTTGCTCCATCTGGGTCACTGCCGGTGGTTGAGACGGTGGGGTCTTTGGCGACTAGTTGTATAGCCTCATGTACATTAGTTAGGTGATTCAGGAGATTGGCATTGCTGTTTTTCGATGTGGACAATGCTTTCTGTACTGCACACAGTTTACATTTGACCGTAATATTTGTTGTGTCCTTTATCCCCACAAATTGAAAATAGTGGTTATATCTCCAAGTTGTAAATAAGCTGCTGCTCTCGCTGATAATTGCATCTGCCATAGTGTGTGTGTGTGTGTGTGTGTGTGTGTGTGTGTGTGTGTGTGGTGTGTGTGTTGGTGTGTGTGGTGTGTGTGTGTGTGTGTGTGTGTGTGTGTGTGTGTGTGTGTGTTGTGTGTGTGTGTGTGTGTGTGTGTGTGTGTGTGTGTGTGTGTGTGTGTGTGTGTGTGTGTGTGTGTGTGTGTGTGTGTGTGTGTGTGTTGTGTGTGTGTGTTGTAGAGTTATATTTGTATTTATTCATGTTAGCAAACTATGGATAAGCTTAAAATGGGAATAATTTGGGTAAAACTGTGAGCTGCATTTGGGGCCTGTTGACATGTGTTTTTGAGGACAAAGGAAGATGGGGGAAGGTGAGAGCATGTCCTGATTTGCATTCAACTTAGATCTAGCTACAGTGGTTGTGATGTTAAGAGAGGTCCCTTGGGTTTCTCTGGTGGTTATCAATAGTAGCAGTTAAGTGAATACTGTTCAAACAATACCCGTGTTTGTGTTTTATATTGATTTCTCTGTTTTATCCTTTCATAAATGTAAGGACTACAAATGGCTATAAACATTCTGGGCTGGTTGGAGTAAACAGGGTTTTATTGCTCTGGGGGGGAGGTGTAGGTATGCAGGCCTTGAGACCTTTTGTTGGAAAGTGAGCCTGTTTGGTTTCCTGCTGCGTTTCCTGCTGCGTTGCGTCTCCCAATGAGATGACCTGAAAAGATGACCAGCTGACCTAACACCAAACCCCTCCTTCTTACTCTGGTATATCTCCGGTGGATCCCTGGCGTTCGGCCTCTTCTTCACATGCTGCCCTCGGGTGAAAGTAGCTCTGCAGTATGCGGACCAGGGCAGGAGTAAGCCGGCATTACTCCTTAAGCATTACAATATAACTGTAATATATCATGTTGTATTGTAATGATTGTATTGCATTGTCATATTGCCATTAAAGTAGATTATTGTTAACGGTTACTTTGTAGATATGGATTCCTTCCTGTATTATAACCAGCTTCATAGGAACGCGCAGAGATTTGAAAAGTGGACCAGATATCCCTTTTAATCTCCAACAATATATATATATATATATATATATATATATGAAAACTAGATATAGGGTCATTTTCTGCACATGTCAATAGCAGTTGACTATGTTTTTTGTACATGGCAAATACATAATATATGCATATATTAATATATGCATATAAACATTGTGAACACTTATTTTAAAGTGACTTTTGTTACATTCATAGTTCACACATGTTGAGAGATTGAGGCTGGACAGATGGTGGATGGTGAGACCAGGATGTGACCACGGCTGTGTGTTGGGAAGTTGATGTGTTGAGAGAAGTTGCAGCAGCGAAGGGTTTCCTTAAATTCAGAGGCTTATTTGCAGGTCGGGTCGTCAACATGAATGTTAAAATCACCTAAGAGGAGAACAGATGGGGATATGGCAGAAAGCTGAGTGAGGATGTCAGAGAGAAAAGAGAGAAAGGAGGGGTTTGGCTTCGGGGGACGGTAGATG